CTGGACATCTGTAAAAAATAAGATGCTCTTAACTGTGAGTACCAAAAATATGACTCAATGCTATCCATGGGAATGAACCGTCTTGGGTGTCCATCCCAGTTGAGCATTAGACTGTTAATTCACATTTACTGCATCCACATAAGAGATCCCAAAATATAACTACCCAGCTAAACTTCCCCCTGATTCTGACTCATGAACTTGTGAGTGTGGATATTTTGAGTAATTGGTCACACAACAATAGGAACTTAATGGGAAGAAATATCCAGACCAAATGAAGAATTCATATGAAAGGTTAGAAAAAGAAGGAATCTTATTGAGAAATGTGGGAAAGAAACTACTAAGAATTTCAAACAGAAATGTCCCCCTAACCAAGGTATTAAACTACATTCATAACCAAGGAATTCTAAATAAAAGGGCAAAGAGATCACGTTTGAAACCCCTTAGTTAGGAGTAATATGAAATAGTGGTAATGATATGGAGCTTGATGGAGACATAAATTGGTAAGACAACCCAGAAACCAATTTGGCAATACCTTTTAAAACTGAAGATAGTCTGATCCATCAATGCTTGTGCTATGTATAAAACCTAGTGAAATTCTCCAAGTATATTTTTAATTTTTGTTGTGATAGCTAAAAAGGGGAAACAACTTAAAACTCTGTCAATGGGGAAATTGGTAAATAAATTTGTGTACACAGCACAAATAAAATACTAAACATAAAAATTGCTGAACTGGGGGCTGGGGATGTGGCTCAAGTGGTAGCGCGCTCGCCTGGCATGTGTGCGGCCCGGGTTCGATCCTCAGCACCACATACAAACAAAGATGTTGTGTCCGCCAATAACTAAAAGAAATAAATATTAAAAAAAATTGCTGAACTGGATTTTCATGTATCACAATGGTAATTTTTATAGACATAATGATTAATAAAATGGATGAACAATGAGAATATACTGCCATTTATGTAAAGTTTTAAGCAGGTAAACACAAACCTGCCAATTGTTCAAGGATATATTCTTTTGCAGTAAAATTTAGCACAAGGAAATGCAAATGTAGGATCATGTTTCCCTCTATGGGGGAGAGAGTGGGAGACAACTGGGAAGGCAATATAAAAGGGGCATACCTCAGCAGCAGTTTTAGATCTTAATCCAGGCAATATGTATAAAGCATTGGTTGCACTTTTCATTTTACTTTTTTGTGTTAAATACTTGGAATGTATTTTTTATTTAATTATCAGAAGCTCTTATAAAAAATTCCCAGGACGGTCTCAGACTCGGCAGATTAGACTTCTCAGAGGTGGAACCCATGAACCTGTCTTCTGAGTGACCCTGTTATACTGGTCTAAGCCAGGATAAGGCTATTCCAGTGGAGTTTGGCTCCCCCACAGTCTATTATACTTTTCACTCTACAAGTTGACCAAATGTTAGCTATGATATAAGGTGATGAGGACATAAATGCAAATAAGACAGTTCCACTGGCTTTAAGAGTAACTTCAGTTACAAAAATGTTCAAAAACTTCTCAAACCAAACATTCTTATCTATTGCCTGAATCCTAGTGTTCCCAAATCCTCTTTTCCTGGTGTGCAGAACATCCACTGATCACTGTACCTGACTGGGATTTCCACACACTCCTTTCTGGAGAAATTCCTGGCATGGTCCTCTGCCTTGACACTAGTGGAATCTACTACTTGACTATTTGACACTACTTGACGTCTCACAACTTTGCCATTTATCACTGTTTGGCCTTGGATCAGTAGTGTCATTTCTCTGAGACTCCACTTCTGACCCAAAAGCTGAGTAGATGAAAATTTAGTTTGGGACTAGTTGAATGCATGGAATGGCAAAGCTATGACCAGAGTTTGAGGCTTTTAGACAGCTATTCTTTTTTGTGACATTTTTTATTTTTATAGTTATACATGGCAGTAGAATCCATTTTGACATAATTATAAAAACATGGAATATATCTTGTTCTAATTCAGACTCCATTACCTCTCCTGCCCCTACCCTCTCCCCACTCCCTGTTCGCTTCCATTTGTTGATCTTTCTACCACTTACCCATAGTCATTTTTTAAATTAATTTCTTGTGGATATACATGAAGGTGAAATTTACTGTGGTATATTCATATGTGCACATAGGAAAGTTATATCAACTTCATTCTACTATCTTTCCTTTTCCCATCCCTTCTCCCTTATCTCTTCTCTTCATTACCCTTTGTCTAATTAGCTGAACTTCTACCCCCCTTATTGTGGGTTAGCTTACACATATCAGAGTAAACATTTGAATTTTTTTGTGGGGGGGATTGGCTTGTTTCACTTAGCATGATAGTCTTCAGATCCATCCATTTACTGGAAGATGTCATAGAGTCATTCTTCTTTATGACTCAGTAATACTCTATCGTGTGTACGTATCACATTTTCATTATCCATTCATCTGCCGAAGGGCACTAGGCTGATTCCATAGATTAGCTATTGTGAATTGAACTGTTGTACCTATTGATGTGGTTGCATCACTGTAGTATGCTGATTAAAACCCTTTGGATATATAACCTGCAGAGTGGGGAAACTGGGTCAAATGATGGTTCCATACCTAGTTTTTTGAGGAAACTCCATACTGCTTTCCATAATGGTTATATTTACAGTCCCACCAATGTATGAGTGTACCATTTCCCCCATATCCTTTCTATCAGACATCTATTCTATTTCATTGCCTTTCCTAGGAGCACCAAATATTGATTTGGAAATTTGTATGTCAGTGTTGTTTTTTTTTTTAATTTTTTAGTTGACCTTTATTTTATTTATGTATTTATATATGGTGCTGAGAATTGAACCCAGTGCCTCAAACATGCCGGGCAAGTATGCTACTGCTGAGCCCCAGCCCCAGCCCCAGACCCAGCCCCTGTATGAGTGTTTTGTGAGAAAGATAGATTCTGATGACCTTTTAGATGTTTCTAAGGAATTATATACACATACTTGACCTTCAAAGCAGTTCTGAGAAGGTCCTATTCAGTCAATTCTGCCTGCAGTAAGGTGTGTAAACTTGAATATATCTCTTCAGCCCTTTGAGGCTCATGAGTTAAAAAAGGATAATATCAACATACACCTCACATTGTTCTGGTAAGGAATAAATGAAATCACTGTTACACAGACACTTTAAGAATCTAGTCTAGCCAGGTGTGGTGGCATATGCCTGTAGTCTCAGCTACTCAGAAAGCTGAGGAAGATCCCAAGTTCAAGGCCAGCCTGGGCAACATAGGGAGACCCTGTCCCAAAATAAAATTTAAGTAAATGAATGGAACTGGAAAACATCATTCTAAGGGAAGTAAGCCAGACTTAGAGAGTCATGGGTCAAATTTTTTTCCTCACATGTGGAAGCTAGAGAGAAAAAATAAATTTAAAAAGAGATGAATAGAGGAGAGGAAAAGAATCAAGGAGGAAGGAGAAAGGGAGGGAAAGCAGAAGAACTTGGGAACAAAATCGACCAAATTGTGCTACATACACGTATGAATACATTATGATAAATCCAATTTTTTATGTATGATTATGACACATCAACAACATATACATGTAAATAAATAAAAGAAAGATCAAAACAGTAGAGAAAGTAGGGAGGGAAAGGAGAACCACTGGGGAATTAATTGGAGTAAAATTATCTTTTGTGCATATATGAATGTCACAATGGACCACATTATTCTGTATAATTATAATGCACTAATAAAAACACAAGAAATAAAACTTTTAAAAGGGCTGAAGATGTAGCTCAGTGATACAGCACATGTTCAGCATGTGCAAGACACTGTGTTGCATTCCCAGTACAGCTGAAAGAAAGCAAAAAAGGAAGGAAGGAAGGAAGAGAGGAAGGAAATGAGAAAATCTAGTCTGACCAGGGAAGTCACAACTGGCAGGCCAACAAGTGGACCACTGACAACTACAATGAGAGACTGAAGTAATGTGGGCAGTTCTCTGCCACATCCCTATATAAGTTGGGTTCCCAGACCCAGCTGGATAAGTGGGTCCCAACAGAAGGCTGGAGGGGGGCTGGAGGCCTGCCCATGGGAGGCCAGGATGGAGATGGCAGAACAGGCAGGAGCACAAAGAACACGGGGTTGGTAAGAGGGCTCTTAATGAAGGACAGACAGTCTCTTCCTCATTTAATTGCTGCCCTGGAACACAACTAATATATAAGTAGCCTGCTAAGAGCCAGGAAGACAAGGCAGTCCCAAAGGGTGGGGCTTCAAGTCCAGGAAACAGCCTCCCAAGACCATGAATGTGCAGTGTGCAGACCATGAAAGGCTATGGCAGATCTTCCTATGGGCTGGTCACTGACACTCAGGGCAGTGAAGCACATAGACCCATTGTGTACCCTCCATGGCCCCAGCCCTGTGGTCTCTTCCAGTGGGATGGGCATTGCCCAAAGCTTTGATGGGGTGGGGTGATGAGCACACATTAACACACCTGAGCACAGGTTTGTGCACATGAGCGCATGCCACATCTACTTCATGGAATCACACCTGGACCCGGTGCCCTGGCCTGGCCCAGAGACCAGAACAATCCTATCCTGGGTGGGGATGGAATCAAGGACTGCAGGCAAAGAAGCCCCAGAGAGCCTGCTCCCCACCCCTGGCCAGAACGCAGAGCTGGTGGGCCCACCCCAGGCCGCTTCCTAGAGGACACCTTGGGCGCAGCCCCCTCGCCATGCTGGCGCCCCGAGGGCACATCCAGGAGGAGCAGGGGACAGGGCTGGACCCAGACGGACTCGGGACCGGGTGGGGAGAGCCAAAGGCGTGGGGTCTCCAGACACCGACACCCAGACACCCCCTCCCCGGGGGGGGGGGGGGCTCCACCTGTGCCAGGGCGGAGGCGGGGGAGGGAGGAGGAGCAGGTGACGTCACCCGCGGTCCCTGGGTGCCCGCGGCGGCGGCGGCGGCGACAGCCCGGCCGCGTGACCCGTGCGCGCCAATGGCCCGGCGGTCTCCGGGGCGACGCGGAGGGTCCGCGCTCCACCGCCACCGCGCCCCCGCCCCGCGTCCGCACTGCAGAGAGCGGTGGCGAGCAGGCGCCGGCGCACTGGCCCACGTGCCGCGCCGGGAGAGCGAGAACTGGACGCAGAGCCAGCGACAGGGCGAGGGAACCAGGGGCGACCGACCCCGCCGCCGCCGCCGCCGCTCTGCTCAGCCCGGAGGAGCCCGCCCCAGCAGGAGGTACCGTACCCCGGGAGGGGCCGCTCGGGCCAGGGAGACCCCGCGGCCCTCCGCCCGCGCCGGCCCAGCCACAGCAGCCCGCGGGGCGGGGGGCGGCGTGGGAGGGTGCTGTGGCCCGCGGGAACCCTCGCGGGGTGGGGCGGGGGTCGGGGCACGAGGGGCGGCTGGGGTGGGAGTGGGGGGTTGGGCATTAACCTCGCTGTCGCCCCGTTCGCATTCACAGGTTGTGGAGACCTGGGTGGGCTGCAGTCGTCCTGGGAGTTGGCTGATATATTTATGTGCCCACGTCCTGATCACCCACCCCCAAATTAGAATCTGCTGAAGTTCGGGAATATGCCATTGACCCTGTTGCAGGACTGGTGTAGGGGGGAGCATTTGGACACCCAGCGGTCCATGTTGATCCTGGGAATTCCTGAGGACTGTAGTGAGGATGAATTTGAAGAGACTCTCCAGGAGGCTCTCAGGCATCTGGGCAGATATAGGGTTATTGGCAGAATGTTTAGGAGGGAGGAGAATGCCCAAGCCTTTCTACTGGAGCTTGCACAAGATTTTGACTATGCTTTGGTCCCCAGGGAAATACCAGGGAAGGGGGGACCCTGGGAAGTGATTGTAAAACCTCGAAATACTGATGGAGAATTTCTCAATAGACTGAACCGCTTCTTAGAGGAGGAGAGGCGGTCCGTGTCAGACATGAACAGAGTCCTTGGGTCCTGCACTAATTGTGCAGCTCCCAGATTGGCTATATCACCAGATTTCTGGACCTGGGCCCAGACCCTGGGGGCAGCAGTGCAACCTCTGCTAGAACAAATGCTATACCGAGAACTAAGAGTGTTTTCTGGGAACACCATATCTATCCCAGGGGCATTGGCCTTTGATGCCTGGCTTGAGCACACCACTGAGATGCTACAGATGTGGCAGGTGCCCGAGGGGGAAAAGAGGAGGAGGCTGATGGAATGCTTGCGGGGCCCTGCTCTCCAGGTGGTCAGTGTGCTGCGTGCCAACAATGCTGCCATCACAGTGGAGGAGTGCCTAGCAGCCCTGCAGCAGGTATTTGGACCTGTGGAGAGCAGAAAAATTGCCCAGGTGAAATTTTGTAAGGCCTATCAGGAGCCAGGAGAGAAAGTCTCTAGCTTTGTGGTACGGTTGGAACCCCTGCTTCAAAAAGCTGTAGAGAAAAATGCAGTATCCCGGAGGAATGTGAATCAGACCCGCCTGAAACGCATCTTAGGTGGGGCCACCCTTCCTGACAAACTTCGAGAGAAGCTTAAGCTGATGAAACAGCGCAGGAAGCCACCTGGTTTCCTGGCCCTGGTAAAGCTCCTACGTGAGGAGGAGGAGTGGGAGGCCACCATAGGTCCGGAGAGGGAGATTCTGGAAGGGTTGGAAATAGGCCCAAGGCCATCTGCCAGAGTTGGTGGGGTCAGGGCAGCGTTTGTCCCTGCCCTTGGCAATACTCTTGAGGCAAGGCCTTCCCAGGGTTCTCGACGCTGGAGGGGCAGAGGCCAACACCGGAGAGGAGGTGTGATGAGGGCTGGCTCTAGAGGATCAAGAAAACGGAAACACCACACATTCTGCTATGGTTGTGGGGAAGATGGCCACATCAGGGCACAGTGTTTCAACCCTCCCAATCTGCCCTTGGTGAAGCAGAAGAGACAGGCTGCAATTAATTTGGGAAACGGGAGCCGGGCTTGGGACAAGAGCCATCCCAAGTCCAAGGCCAAGTAGGCTCTGGAAAACAGGGCAACAATTCTTATCACAGGCCTAGGACACAAACAACAAATTTGAAGAATGGGCAGAGGCAGGTCAGACAAAGAGCAGAGGGTTTCAGTAGGGAAAAAGGACAGAGCAATCAGGTCCAGACTGAACCCTGTCACCCTCTACCAGTGGGAAGGGACTCCAAGAACCCAAATCAGACTTCATGCAACTCAGTGAGGGTCCATCACAGGATCATAAAGGGGTGCCAGAGTACCAAGCAGGGAGCTGCCACACCCTGCACATGGGAATCTCAAGCCTCACACAGAGACTCCAGCGATATAGAGTATGAAGACGGTGAGACGGTGGGCTCTGACATGCGTGTCTGCAATGTCATCTGGCCAACTCCAAGTTCCCACACTACAGACTCAGAGCTAACGATGCCAACCAGACACCAGGATACATGGAGCATGGAGGAGCCTGCCCTGGGGCCATCCTTGTCAGAAGGAGTCAATACCTCTGAGGAAGAGAGAGAGGTAATGCTCCGCAGGGGAGGTCGCAGGGTCCAACCTGTCTTCAGGATCATCTACACTGCTCTAGGGGAGCCCCAGGAAGGCAGTACCCTTGAGCCCTTCCGCCCATAAAGGCCGGGTCTCCAGACCCCAAAGCCCTGGGAGCCCAGCACCATCCCAGAGGCAGTTTCCTTTCCTGCAGCCTGACAGGGCTGTATGGGCAAGGACACCAAAGACTAAGAAGACCCCCAGGTGGGGGCACTGGCACCCACTAGGTCAGTGCACCCAGAGCTGGCTTAGGAGTGAGTGGATATAGAAGGCAGCTTTTGCTCCAAACAGGAGGAGGTAGAAAAGGAGTGGGAGGAGGATGAGGGAGGACTTGGAGGGGGGCAGTTTGTTCTGTTTTGTCTGTGCAGGACCACTGGAGAAGTGGAGAGAGCAAGCAGGGAGAACTGGGGCCTGGCTTGGCAACTCACAATTCAAGAGCTGCCAACCCAGGGTCAGCCCCAAACCCTGCCAGCCTAGGGTGGCCAGCCTTGAAGCACTACTGATCGGCCATCCATAGCCTGGATGAGGGCACCTGAATACACCTGCCACCTGCACTGGACTGGGAGACGTCGGGGAAGAGAGTCCATCTCAAGGGTGCCAGCTGCCTGGCTCTCCCAGCAGGCAAAACCCCAACCCGATTCACGGTCCCCGGGACAGGGTGCGACCGTCCCTGTCCCTGGAAGCCCGCCTTATCTGTAAGCCCCATAGTGACCCACCTCAAGCAAATGCCCACCCCCACGCTAGCCATCGTTCCTGTGCAAAGCCGTGGGGTGTGTGTCAACCCCGGGCAGAGGACCGCGCCCTCGCGGCCGGCCACCTCCAGGCCCGGGCACCTGCCGTGAGCTTCCGGGCGAGCCAAGGCTCTGCTCGCTCCTGTCCAGTGTCGTGAGCTCAACCTCTGCTTTCTCGGTGTAGATCTAGGCCAGCTGCCTGCCGCTTGTTCTCGTGGAGATGTGTGTGTGTTCTTATCTGAGCAGCTCCTCCCAGGAGGCCCTGAGCCCAGTCCCCAGGAGTCGGAGACGGGAGCCGGCGGGAAGGATGGACACGGCGAGGGCGTGGTGGACGCTCACCCCCTCGGTGATCAAGACCGCGGCCTCCCCTCGGGCAGGAAGCACTGGACCTTAGATGGAGGGGGAGGGCCAGGGACTGTGCTTTGACGTTCCACCCCGTTGTTCCTTGTGACTCAGTTTCCTTGGCTTGGGGGGGGGGTGTTCCCTGTTATGCTTTCCAGTGTCCTGTGACCCTTCTGTGCCAGCCATAGGGCAAGGGCCACCCCACAGCAAGTCAGCCCCTCAGGGTGCTCCCGGAATGGAAGTGAGTGTTCATTGCCAGAGGCCATTGTCCTGGCAAGAGGCACATCTGGGTCCTCAGAAAGGGAGGCTGTGGTGGGAGGGCCCCAGCGTGGAGACAGAGGAGGCTCCTCCTCTGCAGCCCCAGGAGGGGGGGCGGGCTGACCTGTGGCCTCGAGTGGTTGTGAAGAGTCCCTTTAGGTTTTGTCATCCCTTCTCTTCAATGGTTTCTGCAAATGTTTCTCTTCAATAAATCTCATGGATATTCCAGCCGAGTTTTTTGCTTCCTTTAGGCAAGGGACAGGGTGGAATGGAGGGAACAACTTTGGCAGGGTTAAAATGATGGGGTATGTGTGGGGTAAGTTTCAGATAGGCTATGGGGTACACTAACTGCCAAAGTGATCACAACCCAGGGTCACTGGCTTATGGGCCCTGATGAAACATAGCTGACCATGACTTAGGTGGATCTAGATGGTGACTGGTTAGATCCCTAGGGCACTCTGTGAGCTTTTCAAATAGAAGTGGATCAGATATTAAAGGGTGGATGGGGGACAACAGGCAGGACCCATGTTCCCATAGCCCCATGATGGCTTGAAGTGCTCCAAACACTCAACACATTGGATCTAGACATCAAAACAAGACCAGTGTATGTATGTATGATATGGAATTAAAATTTCAGCATGCAGGAGAATTGTGAGTATCAATATGAGTGTGTGTTAGCATATGTATGAACGGGGGGGGGGGTGAGGTTCAGTGGTAGAGCACTAGCCTAATGTGTGAGACACCGGGTTTGATCCTCAGCACCATATAAAAAATAAATAAACAAAGGTATTGTGTCCATCTACAACTAAATTTTTTTTTTAAAAAAGAATATGCGTGAATGTATGTAAGCATTTTTATTTGTGGTGGTGTGAGAGTATTACTAATTTGTGAATATCTCTGTCAGTATATCAGAAAATGTATGTTGTTATGGTTTAGATATGAGATGTACCCCCAAAAGCTCATGTGTGAGACAATACTAGAAATTTAGAGGTGAAATGATAGAGTTATGAGATGCTTAACTTAATCAGTGCATTAATTCACTAGTAGGAATTAGCTCAGTGGTACAGGTGGGGTGTGGCTGCAGGAGGTGGGTCACTGGGGGTGTGCTTTGGGGGTTTATATTGTTCCTGGTGAGCAGAGCTCTCTCTGGTTCCTGATGGTCATGTTCTGAGCTGCTTTCCTCCTCCACCCTTCCACCATGATGTTCTTTCTCATCTTGGGCCCAGAGCAATGGAGTCAGTCATGTATGTACTGAACATCTGAAACTGTAAGCACCAAATAAACCTCCCCTCCTCTAAAACTCTTCTTGTCAGGCCTTTTGGTTACAGCGGTGAAAAAGCTGACAAAAACATGTGGATATGTGATTTAGCATGTGAAATGGTGTTTGAATGTGGGTATGTTAGTGTGTGTTTGAGTATGAGTATGTATGTTTTCAAGTATGAGTGAATGTTGGTGTGTGAATGTGTATTGGTGTGTAAGTGTATGTTTATGAGTGTACATAAATGTATAAGTGTCTTAGTAAATATGTGTTAGTGCGCTGATGTGTGAGAATGCCATAGTGTGTGCTTATGTGTGAATATGACTGAGTGTACCTGACTGTGTCCTGAGTGTATACATGAAGGAATGTGCAAATGTATAAAGAGTTCATGATTGTGAGTGAATGTGTGGTAATGGATGTCTGTGTGTATATGTGTGTGTGTGCATATATAAGAGGACATGTGATATTTAGCTGAATTTATAATGAGTGCATGTTTTGGTTAGTTGATGGGCTTTTTATTTGTTTAAGGAATCAAACAAGAGAGTTAGGGAGAAGGCAGAGTAAAGTACAACTTGCTTCTCACAAAACAGCCATAAGACTTTTATTGACCCCAAACTGGTAAGCGCTATAGCTGGTCCTACAATGCACTCATTTATTTTCAACATTTGGCACATGCCCATTTTCAAGGTTCCTATCATTGTATGTTACTGTTACTGTTGTGTGATTAAAATGCACTCCTTGCCTGAGTCCGTTTGTGGACATTATTTTTCCCTTCTCTTGGGTAAATAAGTAGAAATGGGATGGCAGAGCCACAGGGTAGGAGTATATTTAACTTTATAAGAAACTTCACACAGATTTTCAAAGCTATTGTGATCACTTATACTCACAATTCACAGTTTCCTGTTTCTCGGGGTCCTCCAAAAAAATCTTGTGTTTTCATCTTTGAAATTTCAGGCATTGTGTTGTAGAACTCATTGTGGTATTTTGTTGTTGCATTAACTAGCATTTCTGTGATGGCTAATGATATTGAGCATTTTGTATGTTTGTTTATTAACTGTCTTTCTCCCTTAGTGCAGGACCTGTTCGAGTCTCTTGCTCAGCTTTCAACTGGGATCCTCTTCTCTTTCATTATTGAATTATGTGACTTGTTACAATACTCAGGATACAAGTTCTATGTCATATATATGTGCTGGTATTTTTTCTACCAGTTATATATTCCCCATGTATATTGTTAACGGTATGCATTCACAAGCAAATTGGTTTTATTAAGATGAAGTAGTCTGCTGTAACATTTTTTTCTTTTATAATTAACACTTTTAGGGTCCTATCTAAGAAATATTTCCTTGGTCCACATTTGTAAAGATTTTGTCTTATGTTTTATTTTTGTGGTTTTTGCTTTTTCATCATAGGATGAATCTAAATTAGTTTCTGTATCATAAGTGAGATGTGGGGTCAAGATGCATTTGAAAAGACTTTTCTTTTGATACGGATTTTTTGGGGTGTTGGTAGAAAATATTTGACTTTGTATCTGTGGGTCTACTACAGAGTTCCATATTTTCTCTTTGGTATTTTTCAGTTGTAGATATTCTATTTGGTTCTTAATTATACTTGTTATTTTTTTGATGGAGTTCTTCCTCATTGGTTTTTCATTATATTCATTTGTATTCTTTTAATTCTGGAACAACATTTATTTCCATTAATTATCTTTAATTTCTCATCTGCTAATCCTATAGTTCTTGCCATTTCAGGGCCTTCAGAAACATTTTATCCTTGTTTATGGATCATGTTACTCCTTCTAATGTCTAGGAATTCTTCACAGAGGTGGACATTTTGATTGTCAGGTTGTTGAATGTCTTGATTTTGTTGTTTCACTTAAGTTTGTGTTGAGTTCTGTTCCAGCAGGCAGTTGTTATTGAGTTGTATAACTTGTTAAAATACAGACCATCCTGAGTTTTTTGAGGCTTGTTGTTATTATTATTATTATTACTGCATATTAATTGTATAAATTAATGGGTTTGACTGACATTTCTATGCATGCATATATTGTGCTTTGATCATATGCAACCCTCCTCTTACCCCCTCTTGAGTTCCTCCCCCTAATTCCTCCCCATTCCTTTCCCTTTCCTCAGTATTCCCTCTTCTAATTTCAGGTCACTCTAATGTTTTGTTAATGTGGATCTTGCAGGGCTGAGTCTTTCTCCTAAGGTATGGCCTTTCTCTGTTCTGTACTGAATGTCCAGAGATTTCAATGTGGTTTCTCCTCTATGGCCAATGCAAAATTGAATGTCTCTGAACACTGTGTGATTTCTGGTAGTTCTGTTCGTAGCTCTCTGGAAGGTGTTTTGTGTCCAACCTGTGGCATCTCAATCTGAGCATGCAGAGCTCAGTATGCTGCCAAAGGTTCAGTGGGAAGTTTGTGAAGTCTTCAGGAACTCTTTGTATGTCTGATCTCCTTCTCTCTTACACAATGACTGCAAATTCTAGATGCCTCAGTAGCTCCTAACTCCACAGTTCAGTGAGAATGCCACATGCTTCTTGAATTTTCCCCTTCCTTTGCCATCAACTGGAAAGTGTCTCCAAGCTGATACCAGTGAGGTGTGGCTGTTGGTTGGCCACACCTCTTTTGACTTCCTTATCACAGAAATCGAAGTCTTAACAAACTTGCCAAAGCCAAGGTGCTAATCCTGAGGTAAATGGAGTTGGATGGTCAGTGGATATTGAGGGACTGAAGAGGGAAGGGGACCAGGGCAATTAATGGGGAAGAAATCAGAAGTTCATGGGAAGATGGGATAGGGCCATGAAGGTCCTAGAGTACCCATACCAAGGTCTTCGGATATCTGCCCCAGATGTGCAGCAAGCCACCTGGATATTCAGAGAAGAACCATTGTCCTAGAATTATGTGAAGGAGAAGAATGACCTGCTCATGTCTGTGAACTAGAAAGATCAGTGAGAAACTAGTGTCAGGAAAAGATGGAGGGGGCACATTTGTCACACCAAAGGTAGCTGCAGAGGTGGTGAGTGAATACAGAGACCACTTTTGTTGAAGTATTCTCATGTGATGAAGTTGGAGGCACATTGGAGCTAAGATTCAAGAAGATTTCTGATGGACAGGTTCTCTTTGCAGAACTGAACCAAATTTATCTGTGGGAAACTATGATTTTGCCTATCAGGCAGCCCCTAGAGGCACTTTCTATTCCTTCTCATACTACTGACCAAAGTTTCACACTGGTAACACTCAGTTCTAAGAGGGAGGACCTGGAGTCTGCCTGGAGGCCATGTATTTCTGGCTGCCTTCTCTTCTCTGAGATGATCCTAAAAAGGCTTAGTTCTGCAAGGGCGTATAGGAGGATTATGCTTTCAAGCAGGCCCCATTAAGTGCAGGTAAGCCAAAAGAGATGGTCCCAAGGAAGGTCTCATTGCTCACCCAGACATCTTCTTTCTTTCAACTATTACTGGTGGTTACATGTGTCCCAATGGACATCTCATTACCTCCTTTTCAACAAAGAGAATCTTGTATAGCATTCAAAGTGTCCTGAAACCTGGCTAGGGCCTATACACTTCTCATGTAAAATTAACAGGCTGATTTCTTTTGTAGCTCTTGGAATGTTGAAGACAAAACATAAAACAGACCCACCAATAAGGACTGAAAGGAAGGGTCTGTCCTTCAGAGCATGATAGAGCAACACAGAACAGCAGATATACACAGTTAAGTCCAGCCAAATCCTTTGGTATCCTTGGCAACCAATATCCCAACAATGACACAGAAGATGTGACAGTACTGCAAAGGCACAACAGAGCCATTGCTGGATGACAGGGCAAACATATTCCATAAGAGAGGATACAAATATTAAGGGATTCGAAATATCAGAGGTGTATTCACCTAAGAGGGCTAATGTAACTAACTGAAATTGTGAAAGTCAAGAAAAAAGAAATCTACAGTGTCAAATTGGTGAGAAAAAAAACATGTCAGGTG